TTTCCTGTCTAATTCGTCGTCAGCCTGTCTGGGTACACACACACACACTATATATATACACTTAAATATACAGCATACACTCGTAACCGTATAATGTACGTGCAAACTGCGCAATACTGGCAGTTATAAATTGTCGCTTGTTAAATGATATAAACAACTGGGTACTCGACCGGGTACACCTCGCTAATGGCACGGCCAATTAACCCTTCAGGGGCCCGGAATTYGGTTTTTTGGTACGGTATAGTCATCGGCTGGCGGTGTGGTGGTGTTAATACACGCGGGACCCGGCCCTGCGGACAAACTAGAATCAGAAAGAGAAAGAGAGAGAGAGAGAGAGAGAGAGAGAGAAAGAGACAGACAGGCAGACAGTCAGACAAAGGGGGTGAGGGGTGAGAGAGAATGAGTGTGCCAGGGGGGGATGAAAGGAAAAAGGCTTATTATATGCATTTTGCACAAAGAGAAAATAGAACGGTGTAAAAAAAAATACCCTTAGAGCTTCTTGAGGGTTTTATAATTAAAACAAAATATTTTCCTTTCTATTATTTACTTAGTGCCGACTATACCGTTCTTAATTTCGTTACGAAAACGATTTTTAGCAACATAAAAAACCTCGACACCGATGTTTATCAAATGGAATATTATTATCAAACAAAGAAAAAGAGCACACGCGTTTTTACGTATTTTACACGAATTAATTAGTTACGATCACGTGTATTATAGCTGAACTAAATCTTAATGTCGCACATTCTCACTTTAATAATATCTACGTTTCACCATTGCAAATTTACACTTGAAACTAATARAAAATTGTTTAGGAGTGTAATATTAAATATAACTTAATATTATTTWAAAAAAWTCCAATAGGTGTCTTAACGGAGTATTATTCAAACTTTTCTTAWTATTAGTATAAAATATGTTGAATTATTAACTYGATTAGACTTTTCACTTTCAAGACGTCGTTTGCTTAATGTTTTTTATTTACTCCGTTATAGCCTTTTACAATAATAAAATGTATTATTTTAATATTTAAATCATATGGTTATTACAAAGTATTATATTTATCCAAGTCACGTTTAGCGATGACCCCGCACGTGTGTCGTGTGTAACTCAGACATTTATTACTATCACCTTTTTCTGTACGAGAAAAATAATACGGTTTACACGCCACGGTTTTTTAGTATCACTATTATTTTTCTAGATCATTATTTTATAAACAAATGCGCAGAAAGTGTTCATTTAAGTTTACTGTTTTAAATTCATGACAGATAAATTAAATAAATCTGCTTGGAAAACGTCGAGGAAATGACATAAACCCTTTTAAATGCCCAAACTGTCATCCTATAAATGTAACAAAAGTTCCAGCAAACATTTTAAACACTTTTTCTTCATAAAAAGATTATATTAGATTATTCCCGTATTTCCTAAAATGAACGTAGCAGTTGTTTTTGACCATTAATTTGAAAAATATGTCAAATATAAATAAAACAATGTTTAATATTTGAATTATCATTATTATTACTKTTAATAAATTATTATTTATAATCGTATGGTTTAACGAAAAAGCAAAACAGCTTATGTTAACTTACCTAACAATTATTTAAATTTTAAAAGAAATACTTATTATTGGTTCGTGAATTCRTGTTGATTCTTTGAAAAATATTATATTGAGTTGTTAAGTCTACTCAAAAGTATAACCTATCTTTAAATTGAGCGTTGAACGCGTTTTATGGTACTTTGAACAGGTTATTATTATACTTCTTGGTAATTTTTTATGACTTCTTMGTACATTAGTTGATAAGAAACTATTATATTATAGTAACATACATAATATATTATACATTAATATGTTGTAGTTATATGCATACAAGTAATATTGTTTAAAATGCATTAATAATAAAATTTGTTTGATGATAATAWATTGATTTATTTTTTTATAATCTAACTAAATTTAATTTTTAATCTCGATTTCACTGTCATTAGTGGTTGATATTTTTTAATTATTTGTATAGGTTTTATAATAATATGAATTGTGATTAGTATGTTTTTTTACATCTCATCCGAAATATTAGTAATGAAAGTATTAGGTGATGAAATAAGTAAATTATATTTTTCGACTACAGTATTGCGAATCCGAATCAATTGTAGATTATTCAAATGTTCAATTTTATACTTCAATTTCGTTACAGTCGTRCCAATCGTTGTATTATAAACAAAAATCACATTATAGAGTATCACAGTATATTGAAATACAAAATTCTAATTATTATTAAAACACTGTTTTTATGAGTTCTGTCAGTTTTAAAATACGAATTGTACCGAAAAATTACCAACTGGGTTTAAATAATAATTATATTTTATGCAAATGTTAAACAGCATTATACTATTATCCGAATTTTACTACCTAGAAAAACATAATTATTATTACTTTTTAAACAATAACTTTTGGCAATTGTATGATAGATCCGATGATTAATGAGACCTTGACATATTCGGACTACYACTGTTTTCCATAATATAGTATCTCCAAGGCCTTTTGTCTTCCCTTATCGTTGATGCCACACCCATTGTTATCGAACTTTCTCCCTTCGGGAAAAACCGAACTTTGGTAACGAAAAAATTCGATTTCTCTAAGTGGAAAGCAGTCCTATAAATATATAATAATAATTGGATTTGAAGACACAAAAAAAGTTTTTTTTTNACCGAAAAATTACCAACTGGGTTTAAATAATAATTATATTTTATGCAAATGTTAAACAGCATTATACTATTATCCGAATTTTACTACCTAGAAAAACATAATTATTATTACTTTTTAAACAATAACTTTTGGCAATTGTATGATAGATCCGATGATTAATGAGACCTTGACATATTCGGACTACYACTGTTTTCCATAATATAGTATCTCCAAGGCCTTTTGTCTTCCCTTATCGTTGATGCCACACCCATTGTTATCGAACTTTCTCCCTTCGGGAAAAACCGAACTTTGGTAACGAAAAAATTCGATTTCTCTAAGTGGAAAGCAGTCCTATAAATATATAATAATAATTGGATTTGAAGACACAAAAAAAGTTTTTTTTTTATTCGAAAGAAATTATAGACGTTATTTACATTTCTATGGAACAAGTTTTAACTAAATAATTTAAAAAAATTATAAAATGAAACAAAAAATAAAAAGATAGTAGTAAATTGTTTATTGTCCGTTTGTCGATTAGTTGTAAAATAGAAAAATAAATATTAGAACAATTTTAAATTATCTATTCGTATTTTTTATATATAACTTTATATTGAAACTTATCTAATTATTTTTTAGATTATATTTACCTATTTATATTATTTTCATTAATAATAAAACAGAATTAAATTTTAATACTTGTATTATAAGTCATATTATGTTGTTGATATTGAACTCCTGCTAGGTTCGCATTGTGGTTGTATTCATTCACTGCTGTTTAAATTATTACTTTATGAAATTTTTAAAGTATTAACTTAAAACATGTTCTAACTGCCTATAAATTTCTATGTGCTCGTTTACCCATTWTAAGTCTACGCGCAACTAGAATTTTCCACGGAAGGGTTGATTATTTTATTGTTTGATTCGAAAATAATGACTATAATAATTACAAATACCGTTGTACATGATTATAGTAACTACTATATCAAAGGGGGTCTGAAAATTTAATTTCTCGAGCTATTACAATATGAATATAATATAATATCAAAATAGCATCTATTTTATAGGTTTATATTTTATTTTAGCATTATCCTACTGAAAAGATTTCCGTCGAWACAAACTGAATTTCCCGCATCTAATTATAATTGATGCACACTGCTACCATATTATTATAACATAACAGTAATGATAATATTATGTATATTGTTATATATATCGCGGTGTAGATACCCGCGTTGAAGTCAATATCATACATCCGGTTGGCCGTCGATATACACGTACAGTGCACGTCCAATCCAATGTTTTCGTTTCCTGCCGACCCGAAGCCATTAGGTGGCCGAGTGTGGGTAACCGGCAGACCGGATTGAATTAGCGACGACAGGGCTTTTGCGGCCGTTGTTTTTGTATTATCTCTGTGATGGATTGAGGCGCGGTCCAGAGGGTCCTGCAGGGAATWGGGTTCCCGTGGTTATTGTTATTTTTATCCTATACCGTGGTATATAGAGCTGCTGCAGGTTTAATATGACGGATAGCATACCCGATGGATGGAAATGCGATTAGATTTTCTTTTCGTTTTCGTTTTTATTTTTATATTCATCTATTTTTAATACGTTTTCCAATACGGTGGTTTATACGACTGCAGTTTAGATAGGTATGGATTTTCTCCAACTGAAATATTCTATCATAGGTAACCGTAAGAATTTTTAAGACATAGGAAATTGTATTATTATAGACACAGACATGATGTTCATCAAAATGTTATGCTATAAGCACATATTATTATAACTACCTATATTAGGTATATACTAGGACGCGTGTCATAAACGCATCGTCATATCGAATATTTATATAAATAATGTATTATAGATTCTAAAATGGTGTAGATGTAAATCCAAACAATAATCTCATTACTACTCCTAGTAATTCGCAAATAATAAAACCACGAACAAAGAATCTAACAATAAATGATATGATAGCCTTTCTCAAAGGATCGGATTTATACAACAAAATTTAAACATATTGATAAAAAAAAAAAAAAAAATTGTAACATTAACTTAAATAGTAACCATATGTAGTTAGCATCATATAAACATTGTAAATATCCTTAACATTGTATCTTAACAAAAAACTAATAAGCCTTTGTTGTTAATGTTTTTTTAGTTCAATAAAAAAAAAAAAAATGATAACCAAGTAATGTGTGATTTTAAAATGTATACATAATAATATACAAATTATATTTTAACTAAATACTAAAGATTAAAGTCTAAACAGTAATAAATTACTTATTATTTATGTTTTTGAAAATATAATATAATAATAGTCTTAATAAAATAACATATAAACGTAAACAATTATAGTTGTTAAATATAACGATATACACGCAAAATAAATGTACCTGTGCTGATAAAACTTGGCAATTCATTTAATTAACTGGCAAAAAAATATATATTTACAAACAAAATATCATGTCATATTATTATAAATCAAAAAGAAGTGTACAATCACTATAAATTACCTTCAAACTCGACGGCTTCGGACAAAAAGAAGAACAATTTCTTTAGTTTAATCACATTCATTCGATCTTCTTTAAAGCCACTTGTTGCTATAACTAAACGAGCAAATACTTGGTAGTTTGATTTCATCAATTTCAATGTTTTTTCATAACTTATACTATCAAAATAATAATTAGCCGGTGCTTTCACATTTGACATAGTCTCCATGTCAGCACTTAATAAACTTGCAAATTTCTGAAGTTCCAGTTTCGATGATAAAATCACGTCCATTGAATTGGTATTTCTTAAATCATCAAAAAACTTTAACAGAAAGAAAAGCAAACTAGTCAWGTTGATCGAAGCCTCTGGCGATAATCTTAAAGGAAACTGAGATCGTTGAATATTAAAAATCGTTAGTGGTCGTAAGTATTTGTTAAAGTTAACTATAAAACTCTTTCGATATTCCGTCATTTCAACATTTTCTACTTCGTTTATAAACTGAATACCTAATTTTAAGTGAGTTATTGTCGTCCAGTAAAAACAAATGTATATATATCTGAATACGGACTTGTGGTATTCATATATAGCGTGAGGGTTGAATTCAAACGATGCCTCAAATGATTTTAACATCAAGTTGACCGCAAGGTCATTCGGCATGGGTATATTTGAAACTARATGGTTGACAAAATCTGTAAGTGCAATTTTCTTTGGATCAAAATCAAAATCTACTACATTATGGGAAACATTTAAACTCCGCATTAATTTATAAGCATCTTCGATGTTCTTGTTCATTTCGTCTAAAATTACTATGTACTCGTCATTCTTGTACCTTAGTCGATACTGAGTCACTATGTCCTTTTCGCTACACCAAGTATCCCAAAAAGTGTATAATTTATNCTGAGTCACTATGTCCTTTTCGCTACACCAAGTATCCCAAAAAGTGTATAATTTATCTAAAAGCATCATGTGGATGTCTTTCAAATGTTTCTTAGCAATTTCTAAATMAACTGATGACATTTCTTGTTCCACTGGTATCTTGTATAGAAATACGGTATTATAAACGTTGTTCAGGTACAAATTTAGAGCCATAAATTCTCCGAGACCACCTGTTTCACCATGAAAAAGTATGATTAGCATATTGACAACAGTTTCACCGAATTCTCTAATTGCCTGGTCGACAATTTTAGGTTGTTGGACCAACTGAAACAAAGTTAAATAATTGTTAGCTATATCATTTATTAAAAATCAATCGTGATTTTYGTAAATTTTAAATATTATTTTAGCTTTTACAAATAAAATTATAAAATTAAACAATTTGCGTACTTTTAAAATTAAATAAATATGTTTCATACMTTTTTTAATGGATATGAAATTAACAAAGCGTCACTTAGAACTATATGCTTAATGGACAATTCGACAAAACCACATCTTGCTGCCCTAAACATGGCGGATTTGATATTTTTTCCATGCTTACACGACCTTATACTTCCGTGGTAAATATTTGGGCAGTCGTCTACTTCGTCGTCACGTTCATGATTGCACCCATAAATTGCCTAACATAATATTATTTACATTAGCACTAATTTATCATTGAATTATATTAATGAATTAATTTTAATTTAAAACATCATTCATAGGAATCATAGGACGAAGTAATACAAAGCTATAAAGTTAATCGTATTATTTTAGGAAAAAATCTTTAAAATAATTTTTATATAATTTAATTTATTTTTTATTATTTATGAGAAAATAATATTTTTATTTTATTAAAATCATCAAACGTCATAGTATATATATTTTTTTTTTTTATTGATCAAATAAAAACTCGGCAACTACATGGYCATTAGTTACAGTTGTGGTATGTTTACATGGTTTAAGATTTTTCATAGTATATTTATTTAATAGTAGGTTATACAAACATTATGTATAATTGTATTAAACTTCAGTCGTTTCCGTTCACTTAAAATTTCGCYATACTCATCAACAATAAACTTAAAATGTCGTGTGAAAAGTTTCTGCCAACCATCCAGTTTGACATAACCGTACAATTCTTGTTCTAATTCCGCTCTGCATTCTGTTTCCTTTGAGTTATTTGCTTGTGTTGACCAAATAGTTACTCCTATGATTATTGCTAAAAAAACTGTCTTAAACATTTCCCTATAAACAAAAATATATGTTACACAGCATATAAATAACTTCACTTTATATTCTGAGTGATCAATTAATTTGTTTGAATATGATGTGAATATATTTTTTGTGTCTGATGAATATTTTGAAGCAAAAATATGTTTTAATATTAATACTTTCGTGTAGGTTTCTGGTAGCAAATTTGATGAAATTTGAACTACTTGAATGGCTCAGTTTAACGTAGGTATTACTTGTAATAAGTTACTAAAAGCAAGATTTTAATATCCTTAAAATTACAATATAGACGTTTATTGACAGACTGTCCCCTATAATAATAGTTTTTCATCGTAAATACATATTGATAACTTTATCATTAAATTCATATTTAACGCATCTATATAACTGCAGTGACCTACTCAATGAAAAGGTACTCTACTTACAAAACACGTCTCTTTATATCAGCGTGGCTTGAAGTCACTGTTTTTCCTAATATGAATTTTATTATTGATATGAACAATATAAAAAGACATAAATTTATATTTTCCGAAGATATAATATACACCATAACCARTTCAGGAGCAATGTGTAAAAACATTTTATCAACATTTTCGTATTAATTAATTTTAACAAATATATTATACAAATTAGGCATTAAGTAGRTACTATAAATCATTGCGTTCGAAAGACTATTCAGATTTTTTTTTTTAAGGTGCTACACTTGTATTTG